CCGGGGCTTGAACTTGGGTCCTTGTGCTTGTCAGGCAGATGAGATTGTAGAACCACTGAGCTAAATCCCTGGCCCTAGATTCAGTATCTCTTAACAAATTTTGAAAGTATATTTGTGAAATGTACAAATCTAATGTGGCCAGTTCTTTTAGTTTTAAGACATAATCTTTTTGAGTTTTAATCATATACTATTGGTCTTGGGTGGGTTCTCGCTTTTCCTCCTCAGTCTCCTTCTTTCATTTCCCATCTGTATGTTGATCTTTAAGTATTCTTCAGAGTTCTTTTCTCTGATTCTTTTTTTGTATTACTTTGGATTTTATTTGATGCACAGAGGCTGCAACTGGAGTGAAGATCGGGGTTAACTCCTGTTTTTAATCATAGGGCCTCATAGTCTTAAATGTTTGGAAGATGCGAAACAAGTGTTTGAATAAAAAAATGTAGACTTCATGTTGTAAATAGAAACCTCATGTGAGAATCCTGAATAACTAAAAATGATTTGTAAGTGCAAGATAAATAATCTTATCTCATTAACCTGTGCATTTGTTTTTTATTTTACATGTTATCTTCTATAAAATATCTTTAGTTGATGGCTTTTATAATTGGCGTATCAGATGTGAATGTTTCCATTTACCCCCTCTTAGGAAGAGTGAAAGCACCAGTATCAAAATGTCTTAAAATTTATTGAAATCTGATAATCAGTGTCTTTGGTCAATTCTACCACCATATAATAAGATAATTTAGAACCATTGCAGGGTGGAAAAACACAGACTGAAACATCCTTGATGTTGGCATTGGGAAATATGGGTTGCAATGACTGAACTAGGAGTTACTTGTTTATCCAACTTCACAGATGATGGGGCTGGGAGATGCTTGGGGGCAGGGACTTGGTCCTTTCGGTTTCCCCATGTCCAGTTAATGCAGTGGCTGTGTAATAGCTATGAGATGTTAGAGTGCTTGCTCTACTCCAACTGGTTATTTTCAGTGAGAGTTCTCTGCCTTGGTGGACATTCAGGGGGAGAATCTCCTCTTCAGGGAGTCCTGCTTGGAGTATTTGGCAAAGAGTGATGCTGAACAAATCCTTTATCTTGGAATACAGAAGATCATGGAACTCTAATGGATCTGAATGTGTTACGACTTTTTATTTGTCACTTTAAAAAATAATGCTTATTTTCTTTATCAACAGGAGTGAAGCCTAGGTCTGGTTGGTCCATTGATCCTTTTGGACATTCACCAACAATGGCTTATCTTCTGAAACGTGCTGGATTTTCACACATGCTTATCCAGAGAGTACATTATGCAGTTAAAAAACACTTTGCATTGCATAAAACGTTGGAGTTTTATTGGAGACAGAATTGGGGTATGTAGGGCTTGATGAAAGCTGAAGATCCCGTTTGACCTAGATATTATTTCACATATGTTTTAAACTTCGGCCATCATGGCTTTTATTCAGTGTCAGTCTTGAATATTAGCTTACCTAAAGTACTCTTACACTGCATTTATTTTCCAATGTATTTGTGTCAAAATTCTTTTAAACGGTGATACACTTTTCTACAGAATATTATAGAACCTTTTCATGCCTATAGGAAGTAAGTTAATCTAAGCTGTTGGTATTGTGCTAGTAACACTTTCAATTAATTGTAGTTTACAGAACACGTTTTAATTACATATTTGAACCTGCATTGAAACTGAACTGATATCCAGTCATTAATCTGGAATTCGGACACTGTTCTTTCTTTTTGCCTGTCTTCTTTTGACATCTTGGAAGAATTACTCTTGGAGACCTTAATCCTATCTTCCTGCAAGAGACCTCATATTGTCTGGATCCTGTTTGTATTCTGTGTTCTTTGTGCACAAAGCTGCTCCAGGGACAAACCTCTATGTAGATCTTTGTTGAGGAAGAGGAAACAAGATTTAGACTTTTGTATTTCCCAATGTCCATTTTATTAGAACGCCTTATATTTTATGCTTATGTTTTTATGTGTGTTTATTTGTGCTTGTTTTGAGCCTTATGATGGGCCATGAGTTATGTTATATACTTTTATCCACTTGCTCATTTAGCCTCTGTAACTGTCCTTTAAATGAGTTCTGTTAATATCCCTTTTTTATGATGAAGAAATGGAAGGTTAAAGATGTGAAGCCATTTGCCAAAAGACAGGCAGGGAGTGGATAGCAGAGCTTTGATCCCAGTGGTACACCGTTTCTAACTTCCTGGCACTGAATTCTCACTTCATCTGCAAAAGGATTTTGTTGCTGAAATATTGTTGAGAAATTACTGAATTACATCATACTGGCTATTCTGAATAATCTTTATCTCTTAAGTGTTTCTAAATCTACACCGTTTCCTTATGTGGTTCTGTTTTTGAATTTAGAAAAGCAATTAGTTATACAGTTTTTTATTCTGGAAAATTAAACCTGTAGGGAAGGAAAGAATATGTAGGGGGTGGGGACTCATCCTGCATAGTTTGATTAAATGCAAAGGGACATAGTTTAGAAAACAGAGGATTGTTAATTTGAACCCCAGCTTAAACAATTGTCTGCATTCATATTGCCCATAAATATCAGTAAGAAATTGTTGAGTTTGTTTATATATTTAATACTGCACTACGGAGAAATATAGAAAACTTCCTTAACCATAAGGAAGTTACAGTCTAATTTGATAAAATTGATAAAATACATATACAACTAAATACCATAGATGAAAGTAAATGTAGAAGTGAGCTGCTAAGTTTGGTTTTCGGAAAGGTAGTAAGTTGTTGGGCGTGTCCTGATCCATAGGAAAAAGGGGAAGTTCTGGTACTTGTGGCAACCTTTATGCAGGCAGCAAACATTTGGTGACCAGCATGCAAGGTGTTAACCCCTGTGAATGTACCTCTGTGAGATAAGCGACAGTATAGGTTTTATATAGGTTTATACAGGTTTTAACAGGGGCAACATTTGCAACACAGGTGGTAATTATTTTAATTAAGTGATTAAAACTAGAAAATGCTAGCACTTATCTGATAGATTTGAACACATTGCCTTTTGAAAGATGTTTTCAAATTAAGTTGAGCTTGTTTGTGTGTTCAGGTACTTAATGAAGCAGTTATTTTCACTTTTAAAAATGTAAATGTTGCTTTTTTTCTTTCAGTTATAAAAACAATATATACCCGTTGCTAGAAATTGGAAATCCATGCATAAAAGTGAGGGGCATACAGCTCAGCATAACTACTTTTATCTGCTAGTTAAGCCCTCCATTTTTACTTTGGGGTAAACATCGCACTTTTCCTGGTCAGTGGTCTGAACACATGCTGACATTGGGGTTTTAAGTAAAAACAGTTCTTCTCCATTAGTAATTTCTTCTTGCTTTCCATATCTTTTTTGTTTGCAAAAATTACTTTGTTTTTCCTGTGTGCCTTTCTGCTGAAAAGTTCCATTGTCTCATGCTTGGTGAACGTCAGGAGAGACTGTGGTCTTTCCTGTACTGTGCTTCCTGTCCTCTCCTCAGTGATAATAAGCACAGGAGGTATTTGTCCAGTGTTTTCACACCCCCCCACTCTTGTTCTTTTGTTCTTTCACTTCCCCCTTTTCCTCTCATCCTCTCACTCGGCCTCTACATCTAATATAATGCCCTCTTAGTATGTCCTGTTGCCTCCGATGGGAGCAGATGTGGCAAGAGCTGGCCGACAGGGTTGGACGTTGATTTTGGATGACGCAGCTATAAATTTTACTTCTGCTCAAGAGGTTTCCTTTCAGGTCAGCAGCTACTGGTTCATGAAGAGGCTCTTTTGTCCCTGGTATTCAGGTAGAATAGGTCTATACAGGCTGAGAGGTGTATTCTTCCTTCTAACTGGCAGTTGTTAAAAACTCCTGGAGTATACATATGGTAGTTAAGAGAGGCTGACCAATTAGGGTAGAGCTTGCATAATATATGTATATAGTAATGCCATTTTAAACAGTTTTGGGAAAAAATTTCATAAATGCAAGTGTGTCTGTTGGTTCTTTATTTTAGATCTGGGATCTGTCACCGATATTTTTTGCCACATGATGCCCTTCTACAGTTATGACATCCCTCATACTTGTGGGCCTGATCCTAAAATATGCTGCCAGTTTGATTTTAAAAGGCTTCCTGGGGGCAGATTTGGTTGTCCCTGGGGAATCCTTCCAGAAGCAATATCTCCTGGAAATGTCCACAGCAGGTATGAAAATAATGTATTTCATAAGGCAACATCACGAGCAAAGTGTGCATTGCTGAAAGGTTGAATAAATGGGCTTTAGCAGCCAACATTATCCTTGTTTAAGGTATTCATTCAAACTAGATCTAAGGAAACTTAAAAGTGCCAGAGCCTTGACTATACCTTTTATGTGTTATAATTTAATGGAAAATGAACAATAGTAGATCAATATATAAAAGCTAACCTATAATAAGCTATTATTACCATCTCTTTTGCCCTCATTCAAAAAATTTCTACTGTGTTTGATTGACTTCATATACTTTTGTTGATAATAAAACTTCTGGTCCCCATTGTACAAATTGGTAAGAAAAGCAACTCAACTGCAAAAACACATTTATTGAAATGGAACCCATAAAGCGTGTAATTATCTGTTGCCTCAGTAACAATTTTAGTGATAATGAATGTGGTCCAGCTCTGATGACTACATATCCTTGCATCTTTCTGATGTTTTTGACTCGCAGAAAACTTTAATTAGAAATATTTATATGTAAATACATTTAAATAAAAATCAAAAGAAAGGTTCATTTCGTTAGATGAAAATTGTGCTAATGAAGAAAGTGTCTCATTGAACCAAGTTACCTATATTTTCCGATTTTGTTGCTTCTAGAGTTTAATTTCTTCCCTGAAAAATTAGTGGTATGGAATACATTAAAATAAATCATTGTGTTGTAATATTAAAAACTCTCAACTACTAGGAATATATTTTGGGACCTTGCACTTGTGAGACAGGCAACCAAACCACGGAGCTAAATCCCTAGCCCCATTCTAGGAATATAATATAGCTGTTTAAGTAGATATCTCTACACTATCAAGTCTTTGTATTAAAAAAGTTATTTTTCAAAATGTGCACGTGAGAAAGGAAGTGAGATTCATTAAGTCCTTGTGGTCATAAAGAAAATGTTCTTGTGTGAGCTTCTCATTGTGGCAGACGCAAAGATGTTTTAGGAAGGTAACCTTGAAATCATGAAGTTATTTTATCAAAGTCTGGTTTTGTTTTGCACAAGTGTCCCAAGACCAAGGCTGTACCTGGTTTCATTGTGAGAACAATTTAGGAAGTCTGAGCAGCCTGTTTTAGGGTTGGGTAGCCAAGTTAAGACAATAACCCAGTATATTATGTGGTAGAAGGTGTGGTGAAAAGGAAAGGGGTGTGTGGAGAGGTCCCTGACCTATCTACTTGAGCAAACAGTGTTTGTATTTACAGATAAGTATGCTACTCCTCTTTCTGCTCAGGTGGTCAGGGATAGGAAACCACTTTAAGGTTAGACAGATGTTTCCTTTGGGTATTCTCTTTGTGACCCTCTTGGGTGCTACTGATGGTATCATTTGAGGTGTATTATTGGAAGAGAAGCCATTTTGTGTAATCCCTTTGTTGGATCATGTAAGCTTTCAAACATAGCTGGCTTTCCAGAACATACCTTGGGCTTAGCTCCAGGGATTGTGAACATGGCTTCAGGAACCTGGGAGCATATGGATAATGATCCGTACAATTCTTGTGTAGATTTTGTTTAGCATCTAGTAACTCTTAAAATCTTTACTCTGCTAGTTGATTCATCTTTTTTGGCTTGATGATGAATGGAGATCAAACACAGTCTTTCCAGCTTAGTGATAGCTTTCATCTTTTTAATTCCCTAAAGAAAATGAGATTTAACTGTGAAGTAAATAGATGGCATCTTTGGATATTTTCAGCACGGCAGGTTCTTCAACTTTGTAGATAAGGAAATACTATTCTTCATTGTTTATTTTTGGTCTAGAGCAGTAGTGGTGAACTATGGCACATATTTGATTTGTTTTTCTTTTAAGACAAAACATCTTAATAAATGAGCTGTTCTTTTCAAGTTAAACCCTCACTGTTCAGGTTTAACTGCAGTGTTGGCACATGGCAGTGAATGGGTCTTGGGTTGCAGTTTGGGCACTCATCTAAAAGGTTCACCATCACTGTTACAGAAGTTTGCTTTTTCCTTTGAATACTAGATAATTAGATGTTTTAAGTATTTGTTATTGTTCTTAAAGTTAACCTTTCTTATCTGGAAGAGTTTTTTCAAGGAAAAATTGTTACATGCCTTGAAATGTAATATCGGTCAGTTCATTTATCATTCGATTATATACCATTTATTTTTGAGCAGCTGTTACATCGCAGGTGATATAAGGTGGTTGCTTGGCTTTCCCAATATTGATACTGGACAGGAGCTTGAGAATTAGGGTAGTATCCAGGTTTTAAATTAATGTTTATACTTTTATTCCTTGTATGCATGGAACACATGTATATACAAGCTGTGGTATACCTAATAGTAAAACTTTTTTTTAATTCTTGCTGACTCAGAAATCTACTCGGGTGCTCAGTCACAGTGTATCTTTCATCTGTAGTTGATATTTTTGATTTTTTAAAAACTAATTTCTTTTGATCTTAATACTTTATGGTTAATCTGTATGTTTTTTATTAAAAGTATATAACATAATTTTTGGTAAAGGTGAAATGTTAGTAAATTAGTGAATATTAAATACAGTACTGTGGTAAATGCTAATCTCAGAAAACTTAGCATTACATATTATATAAGAACACTTCTTATATTTTACTCTCAAGCTAATAAATTATTGCTAAAATTTAATGTATGTATTTATAGAGCAGTCTCAGAATAAATTTAAAAAGTACATTAAATTCTCAATTTGTTTTTTTTTAATGTCTCCATATTATTGATGTTCTTTGAGTTACTTTCATAACTTTTAACATTGTGAATTGAAATTTACTTTTGGATGAACCTTAAAGTGAAAATTGGAATATTAGGTAACAAACATGATTGTTACTTAAACACTTAATTTCTCAAGCTTTGACTTTATAAGCAGTGTGAATTACTTGGTATTTATTTGCTTGTTTGACTTCATTTTCACAGATCTTTCCTTTTTAGTTTGTATTTACTTTCAGACTTCTTCAGATGGTGTATTTTCTGGTAGATTTATTTTCTTCTCCTCCTCCTGCCCTTCCTCACCCTCCTTTTTCTCCTCCTCCTCTTCTTTTCTTTCTTCTCCTTAAGAAAACTAGAATATGAAGTATGAAAGGTATCCATCACATAAGCACATTATATTTGGCTGATTCTTTGAGTCATGGGTTAAGCCCAAGGAGGTAGAAATCAAAATAGCTTATTTAACTTACAAGCATTATCTGGTGATGGGTATTTGAAAAGGACACTGTGCCAAATCAGATTGTTGATGGCGTGATTTAGTGAATGGTTGTTCTTCCTAAGAGGAAGTACTGTTTCTATAAAACATTACAGGTTAAGATTTGTGCCTTTTGGTCTTGTTCAGCACACATTTTTTCATATATGTAACCAGGCTATTAAAATTTTAGTTTAAATTAGAGAAAGAAATACTAAAATCAAATTTCAAAATTGATATAGTTGAAAATCCTTATTGTTTCAAAACATGGGCTATCTGGAATCCAGTTGCTATGTCTGGGCTTTAGGAAGGCACTGGCTCCCTAAGAATTATATACCAAAATTGGTTGCAACCTTATTTCTCTGTGGATAATCTGTTGGAAAACTGTGGGCTTTTCCAATGATAAGAATTTATGAGTATTTTAATGGATAATATATGATAGCTTTTAAAAACTCCCTTATAAATCACATTAATCTAAAATGCAGAAAAGGGCTAAAGTTGTAAGGAAAATGGGAAGGGTAAAGGAAAGGTAATAAGGGAAAAGAAAAAAATATGACAAAACGAAAAAGTGGAAATAAAGTGTCTGTAAATGGGAAGGGGAGGAGGGGATGAAGGGAGGGCAGGGACAAGGGGAAAAAAATGAGAACCAAGACCTGTCATGTAAAGGTCCAAGATCCCAATAATGAACAGAATTGTACTGCATACCTAAAATGTACCGATAAACTCAATAAAAGAAAAAAAAAAAGAAAAGAAAATCAATGGTAAAAACTGCTTCCCTAATGTCAGTGTAATCCAGGCAACTCAGAAAAAAAAAAAAAAATGTAGATAGCATGTACAATGCTTTCTTTTAATATAATACACTTTAGAATTTGGATAGTTCCTTTTTAAATTGTGCTATTGCCTTTTCTTAATGTAATTCATATTTTCTGTCTTTTGTAGGGCTCAGTTGCTTCTAGATCAGTACCGAAAGAAGTCAAAACTTTTCCGTACAAAAGTTGTTCTGGCCCCACTTGGAGATGATTTTCGCTACAGTGAATACTCAGAATGGGATTTACAGTTCAGGAATTATGAGCAGCTTTTTAATTATATGAATTCTCAGACTCAGTTTAATGTAAAGGTAATAAGGAAATACTTCTCTCTGACATTGTATCTGAAGTTAAACCTTCCTTATTAAGTGAGGCAATAACACAGTATCTTTAGTTCCTTTGTTCTGTACTTCAGACTGTCTTAGAATATGTAATTTTTGTGTAAAAGTATAATTCTTTAAGAGGAAAATAAGCATATAGTGTAGTTCCATTTGTAGAGTTGACCCTCTGCTATCATTTCTGGAGGATTGAAAGGTATTACTTCTTTGAAATTGAAAATGTGTACCTATTAAATTGTGGTTTTCATTTTTCAGGGATGTCCTGTTTTTCTGCCAGCACTGGAAGTTTATTAATAGTTTTTCTCTGAGAATTGCATCCTTGTGATTTAATAGTGTGACTGGCATTTGTAGATGAAGATGTCATGAATTTTACAAATGTCCTGTGTCCAGAGAATGAATTGGCATTTTTCTTAAGTGCAATTACTCCTAAAATTAATCATTTTTTGTGATTATTATTTTTAACTTTAATTTCTTTTTTTTTTTACCCTGTGGAAAATTTAAATGTTCTGAGAATTGCACAAATAGCATCCTCTTCATATCCCTGGCTCTGCTCCAGCATCCACCAACTCAGGGCCTCTCTTTTCTCAGCTGTGTCCATTTCTGTCTCTTCTCTCTTAGGATCACTTCAGTGAAAATCTCAATCATTTTTTGATTATTATTTTTAACTTTAATTTCTTTTTTTTTTTACCCTGTGGAAAATTTAAATGTTCTGAGAATTGCACAAATAGCATCCTCTTCATATCCCTGGCTCTGCTCCAGCATCCACCAACTCAGGGCCTCTCTTTTCTCAGCTGTGTCCATTTCTGTCTCTTCTCTCTTAGGATCACTTCAGTGAAAATCTCAGATTTTATGTAGTTACATCTGTGACTACTTCAGTATGTGTCTGTAGATGATACAGATTCTGTTTAAAACTATAATCATATTGTATCATAAAAATTCTGATAATTTGATAATATCATAGAGCTAGATAGTATCAACTTTTCCTGATCGCATAAAAGCAAATTTGAGTCAAGATTTAAAACAAGACATATTTTGCGTTTTGTCAGTGTTGTTTAAGATTTTTTAAAAAATCTTACAGATTCCATATGAGAAAATTTTTCAATGTATTTGTTATGTTCATGTATTAACCTTTCTGACAGTAGATGATACGTGATTGTAGTGGAGTAAGGAAGTGGTGTTCCTGTGTAGGATGTTACAAGACTGATAATGACCAAAGTATTTGTAGTAAGAATTCATTTTTATTCAATCTCAGATAAGCTTGAATAAAATACGAAGTTTATTCAAGATATTTATAACTAAATTTCTACCTGATTGTGAACTCTGAGATTAGGGACTCTGAGTCACTTCTGTATTCTCCCTGAAAGATGAAACTTAATTGTGAATATGTGATCATAAGATGTGGTATAGATGTGGCTATCTTATTGCAAATACATCTTAGAAGAATATATTTGGAGTCTGGTCTCCTAATTAATTGAAGAATTAGATGCTGATTTTATTACTATATCTTCCTCTGATTGCCAACTAAAACAATTTTTGAAAAAAATTTTTTTTGGTACTGGGGATCGAGCTCAGGACCTCACACTTAGCAGGTAGGCACTGTGCCACTGAGCTATATCCCTGGCCCCTGAAACTTTTTTTTTTTTCTTGGTACTGAGGATTGAACTTGTGACCTTGCACTTGCGAGGCAGGCAGCAGCACCACTGAACTAAATCCCTGACCCTCTTGTAACTATTTTTTAAAGTATCACATACATAAGTATGCAAACTTTAAGTGGACAGATAATTTTTTCACTTTTCTGAGCAAACTGAGAGCATCCATAGTACCTGGAAAAGCCCCTCAGATCTCCTTTTAGCTACCATCACCTCCTTCAAAAGTAGCGGAGACTTTCACTTCCATCACTTGATCTTGAGTTTTATTTTATTTTTGGGGGGGTACGGGAATCGAACTTGGGAGGCAGGGAGCAGCACCACTGAGCTAAACCCATGGCCCGATCTTGAGTTTTATATAAAGGGAATCCTATGTGTGTACTTTTCTGTGTCTGGCTTTTTTGTTTCACACTATGTTTGTATGTTTTATTCAAACTCTATGTTTTCAATGCCATATAGTGTGTTTGCGATCCCTTTGACGAGAGTACCACAGTTTATTCTGTTATTGTTAGGCATTTAGGGTGCTTCTAGTTTTTGTTTATTATAAATAAAACTGCTTGAATATAATAGGCATGTTACGGTCACATGTTAAGTTTATGTGGGTATGAAATGGGACAGAATTTTTGGATCATTGCCTATGTTCACGTTTAATTTCAGTAGATGATGCCAAACAATATTCGAGTACATCAGTTGTTGCATTTTATGACAGTTTTAATTGCTGTAAGTCCTTACTCAGACGTTGTGTTGTCAGATTTCTTTTCTTTCATTTTTATCCTTTTGATAGATTTGGTGGTTTTATTTTGTGTTTTCCTGGGGCTTAATGAGGCTGTGAGTCTTCGCCTAAGTTTACTGCCATTTGAGTATTCTCTTTTGTGAAGTGCCTATTTAAATCTTGTGATGATTTTTAAAATTAATTTGGGTTGTCTGTCTTTTCCTTACTGTTTATAGTTCTTTTATACATTTTGGATTGAGTCTTTCTTCAGATAAAAGTTATGCAAATATTTTCCCTGCTATGGACTCTGTGTTTTCACTCAGTGCTGTTTTTGATGAGCAGAAATTCTTAATTTTAATTAAATTTGTTACAACTATTTTTCTTCTTGGTTGCTGCTTGTTGTTTGTATACATATTTTTGTTTACCTCATCACAAAGATTCATGTCTTGCTCGGAGCATAGCTTTGTAGTTGTGAAGCGCTTGCCTGCCATCTGTAAGGCCATGGGTTCCATCGCTAGCATCACAAAGCAAAACAAAATGAGAAAAAGAAAACAAAGTATTTCTTATGAAGTTATTTTCTAGAAGCTTTTTTGTTTTACCATCATCATTTAGGTCTTTTAAAAATTTTTATTTTTTATTGTTTGTTGGTACATTTTAGTTCTACAATATGATGCTATTCATCTTTGGGAATTTGTACCTTTATATGATATATCTTGGTTCTTACATTTTTCCCCATTCGACTCCCTCCCTCAACCCCTTCCACATCTCCTTATTTATGAAGATTTTGTTTCCACTTTTTTCCTTTTTTCATATTTATTCCTTTCCCCAACCTATCTCACTTCTCCTTTCCCCTCCCCTTTGGACCTCTTTTCCCTATTTAACATTACCTATTCTACATTTTCATCCTCATTTACACTTTCAGTTTCTCATACCAGAGAAACTGTTCAGTATTTACACGTGTGTGCTGGAATGGAGTGCTTGACTCAAGAGAGATTGAGGATAAAGATATATTTTTTGCCCCTAAGGATGTACATGTACTGAAAAGACCATAATTTCCTGTCTGTGTTTCAGTTATCACTTTGTCCTTAACCTTGAGCAAAACTACATTTGTATTGGTCTGTGTCTAGACTTTCTTCTTTTCGTTGATATTTGTCTGTTTGACTAATCTCATACTGTCTTAATCACTATTTTCCTTATCAAGATTACCCTGGTTATTCTTAGTCCTTTGTAGTTCTGTATAAATTTATGCTAACATTTAATTTTTACTAGAAAACAAAAGAACAAAAGGTTGAGATTTTGATTGGGATTGCTTTGAATCTGTGGTTCAGTTTGAGTATAGTTAACGTCTTTACAAATGTTGGGCCATCATGAAAATTGTATGCTCTGTGAATAATGATAAAATTGCTTTTTACATAGATGCCATTTGCTGTAACACAGAAGCATTATTATAATATACTCAAAACTCCACCTGGGTAAAGTGGCAATAGATAGGGTTTAAACCCATGCAATTGCTGTATAGAATCAAAATGACTGTGCTCTCTTGTGCACTCTTTATATATGTAAGAAAGAAATAAAATCATTATTTCTGTCTATTAAAGAACATGTTGAGGAATCTATTTTTAAAATAGTGTCTTTCAGTATCTTTACAAAATCTGATATGGTGTTTCTTTTTTGATTCTCAGAATAGTTTGGACTCATAAAAATGGATTTATGAACTGGCTGTTTAAATTATTAGTCACGAAGACTGTTCATTTGAGCATTCAACCTTGTCGTTCTTGTCATTCTGAATGTTTTACTTTTGCTCAGTGTAGAAAAGGGTCCAATTTTTAAATGACTTAAAGGCACTCTTTTTTCTAAGAACTCACACCGGGAAGATGGGGGTCAGGGAGGATATGATAGGTACATTATAGTTAACAAAGGTGCTCTGTTCTTCTGGACATTTGCTTAAAATAAGTGTCTTTTTATTTTTGCTCCTTCTTCCATCTTTCATTTATCTGGAGTTTTCCATCTTGGATCCTTTAATACTTCTGAACTTTAAAGTTAATGGAAGGAGTTTTCATATCCATACATTTGTAGATCTACATAGTTCTTAGTGCTTAGGTGTACAGATGTTTTTAGCTAAATTTGGGACTTGATACAGGTAAAAGAATCAATGGTGTCACACACGCACTCCCTGCTTTTGAGTTTTGTAAAATTAAAGCTCTGTTTTCATCTTAACTTGGAAGCATGTATTATTTATTGTTAACTTTTCACTTACATGTTTATTAACTTTTTAGTGTAATAAACGAACATTTTTATGGTGGAAATTGAAGTATAACTTCAAACATTTTTTCACTAGATACAGTTTGGAACCTTATCAGACTATTTTGATGCATTGGATAAAGCAGATGCAGCTGAGAGGAGGCATGGCCAGTCGATGTTCCCTGTTGTGAGTGGAGATTTTTTCACATACGCTGACCGAGATGATCATTACTGGAGTGGCTACTTTACATCTAGACCCTTTTACAAACGAATGGATAGGATCATGGAATCTCATTTAAGGTAGATTTATCTCTGGATAGTTGGATTTCTTTATTCACTTCTGTTAATGTTATTGTAGCCCTTTTGTAGAGTTCCGCATAATATACATAATTGAGGTAGCATTATGATGCACTTCATGTAATTGTGAAATTTAATGAAATCAGAAATATGTCTTCAAAGGATAATCAGATTACTGCTTTTGTTCTAGAGCGAAGGAGAAGCAGTTTAATTAGATTTTCTTGGAGTTGTATTCTGTGTTTTATATTTTCCTAATTGATTTACCTGTATTACTAATATTAATATTAATATTCAGTGGTACCATCATGTGACAGTAATCTGTCAGGCTGACATGGTTGGACATGTAGGAGAGTCTCAAAGAAGCAAATAGGGCCACTCAGCAGCCAAAGGTGGGCTCCAGTTACACACTCTAAACTTAATGTGTTTTATAAGTAGGAGAATGAAGCCTTCATCTCTGTTCTTATTTATTTAAAACACATTTCAGGTATGATTTTTCTGCTTAGAAGAGCAAGATTTGAAAGCGATGAGAATTGATGGGGCAGGCAGAGCGATTGGCTGAAAAACCTAAACTGACTCAGAGAAAGTAGAAGTCAATAGAAAATATAAAACGTTAAAACAGCACTCTACATTACAACTTCAATCACTGTCTAATCGGACCCTCTCCAGTGATAGGTTCTATTTTATCTCTGTCTAGCATCATAACTGTGGCTGTCGTGCCCTTGAAACATGACCAGTGTTAACTGCGACCACATGAGACTACTGAATACTTGAAATGCGACCAGTGTGACTGAGGAACTAAATTTTTAATTTCATCTAATTTTAAATAATTGAACTGTTGGTAGCCGTGTGTGGCTTTTGGTTACCATATTGGGGGTTACAACTTTAAGTAACTGAGTCTAATTTTTATGTCGGGCTGTATTGCTACAGGGCCTCCCAGCACTTTCTGTTTATAATCCAACTGAATAATTCATTTTCGTGATGAATGTTGGTACTAAAAAACAAATTAGATCATACCCTCTTTTATAAACTTGTGGATTCTATTTCAGAAAAGCTTTTTATAAAGATTAGGAATTTCTTCAAGAGTTGTGCTCAGTATAATAGTTTGTGCTTTTATTATTGTTACTCTTGTGCCTCCATTAATATTGTTTCAAAAGCCTGACCTTCGACTGTTGAGCTATGAAAGAGAGATATATCTGACTGTATTTGTAATAAAATAGTGTCCTTACATAAATTATAGAAAACCCTGCATAAAATGATCAAATATCTGTTTTTTTATTCTAAACTTTCCATGATAAAGTAGAATAGGTACTAAATAATGTCAAGATTTAGACTACTGAACTAGTGAGCAGTTTTAGTTTTACAAAGAGTTGTGAATATTTCAATTTGTTGGATATATTTAAGGCATAGAGGTTTATGCTAGAAATATATTTTGAAAATTCTACTGTGAAGCAAAACAAATCAATAAAATACAGTAGTTTTGAATTTTCAGATGTATCAATTTACTTGAAAATAATTTTGTCTGAAATTAGTAATATTTCTTCCTTGTTTGTAAAATATAGATAAAAAAGTATAAAGAAAAATTCATTATATAAAAATTTGTTGTATAAACAAAAATCTGTTGTTGATTATGTGACATCTAAATATATGTATCTATTTTTTCAAAACCAGGAATATTTGTAATCGATGTTATTTGGACATATGCGTAGTTTACTTAATTTTAACCCATCAGTTCTCATTCTGTCATTTTTGGAAGGGCTAAAATTTTGGAAGTAGAGATTATTACTGTCTGTCATTATTTCTGCACTTTAGAGGAGTTCATTCATCACTTTTCATAAAAAAAAACTTTCAGTATCTCCCTTGCCCCTGAATCTTGATATATTGCAAGCTACCTTAACTTTCTCTTCTTTGTCCTTGACATGTTTGGCACGTAGACCTTTTCTTTACTCTTTGCTTTGTTCAGCCATGTTTCTTTCTTAAGAAACCGGTCTAGAACCATCTTTGCTGATGAAAATCATAAAAAGTAGAAATCATAAGCACCTATAATTCTTAATCCCAATGCTATTATTAGTCTAAAGTTTTTTTCTTTAAAGTAAATAAAAATAATATCCTATTACCATTTTTTAAATAAACTCTATATTTGTTGCATGTCATTCAAAACCGATACTGGTGCTTGTCCCTTAGCCGCTCTTTGGCCATCATCTTCTGCCTGTCTTCTGTCCTCTCGACATGCCCTTCTTAAGGTCATGCGTTTCCCAGGCATCTGTCCTCCCAATGTGCAGCTGTGAGAGGAAATGGGTTCTGGTGATGTCCTAGCCTGCATGTTTCTGTTGATCTTGGAGAACAAAGAGGACAGACCCACGTACTTACTCACTTACTATTATTATTATTGCTTTATTCATTTTTTTACTGTGATATATTTATAGATAGATACAGATATATAGATGTAGATATATGTCTTGCTGCTCATAGATTCTGGCTTCTTTCCATGATCATTAGCAAATAAGATACCCACCTAATATCAGTGCAAACGTGATGTTCTTCAGTGATTGATAACTTTAATACATTAGATAAATAACTTTGGTAGTTTTGTAGAAATTATCAGAACCAGTATCTTTTGTATAAATCATTGGTATGGAAATTTTGGATTGTTTAAAAGCTATACAGTATTTTCAAAATATTGGTGTCATTTTAGATTATAAGCTGAAAGATTGGTTTTGAAACAAAACTTAATGACTGTTTTATGCAACCAGGGCTGCTGAAATTCTTTACTATTTCGCCCTGAAACAAGCTCAGAAATACAAGATACATAAATTTCTTTCATCACCATATTACACAGCACTGACAGAAGCAAGAAGGAATTTGGGATTGTTTCAACATCATGATGCTATCACAGGAACTGCAAAAGATTGGGTAGTTGTGGATTATGGTACCAGGTAATGTAATTATGCGAAAGTAGTATTTACAAATTGTTTTAAAATTTTGAGTCATATTATTATATCTTGAGATTAAGCTGTTAATTCATGATCAGAACATAATAATGATCAATTTTTACAGCATTTTTCAAGAAATCTTTTGAAACATCTTTATTCAAATAGAGTAGTAAAACATTATAAGGCTGAGCTTTATTTTTTGAGTACAGTATGGTAATTAGGGTTATTTTCTCAAGGAAAATTTTGGCATCAGATAAATTATGAATTAAGGTTAAAGTCTAGGGGATAAAGAGTTCCACCTCCTTGTACAGAAATTTAATTTCATCTGATTTCATATCCAGTTGTTCTTTGATTCTTGCCTTAGTTTTAGAAGGACGTTGACAGAAAAGAATAAGAAAGAAGGAAGCATAACCAGGAAAGCAAAGGACCTAAAGAGTGTGTCATTATGGATGACATAAGCAAATGGGAATAAGAAGAAAATGACTTGGATATTGGTCCTTAAGGCTGTCTTCAACCAGCTGAAGAGCTGTCAGATAAGTGAGGAGTAGAAACACGCCTATACCTATATTTAAGAATTTAAGAAACAATAAAACAATTCCTGTATAGGAGAAGTTTTGACTATTGTTTCTTCATAAACAATATTCTTCAGAAACATTCTTCTAATGTTCTTTGTCATAAACAATTACCTCCTCATTCTACCAAAAATGGCATACCATTGTATTTTAAAATCATTGAAATATAGAAAACTAGTGTATATATATTATATTTTATAGTTTTATGAAATAGTATATACCTTTTAAAAAGTGGGTTGCTTTATCATAATTTGCTCCTGTATGAGAAAAGTATAGAGCATATAAAATAAGCATTAGAAAATGGACCCACAACTGGATATTAAGTGTGTTAAATTTTTAGTTGTGTTAAATTTTCAGTTGTAATATTTTACTAGTTTTTGAGAGAAACGAGGAGAAAAGACATTCTTCAAGTTTCATTAGTTGACTCCTTCAGAAATATATTCAGGTTAGTATGTTGAATATCTTCAGTTTTCTTGTGGCAGAAAAAAGTTCCTCACTATGTTGTATCTTTTGAGGTTATGTTGGGCTGAGGTGGAAAACTCAAGTCAACTTACTCATTTTTTTTTCTTTCTGGTGTTCCTGCACTTCTGATTTGTTGTAAGTTTAGTAGTAGACTTCTTAGAATCAGACCAGGGCATAGAATATGGAGAAGTCATTCTCTTACCCTGCCTGTTTGCTTTCTCTGGCTGCCATATAAAGAGATTTTGGTACAAGTCATTAAATTTTTCTACAGAACATTTTTCTGTCTCATGGCCTTTATGGGAGGCCTATCGTTAGTTCTTCAGAATGTTTTGTATTGCTTTTAGCTTATAAAAACAGCTCCATACAGAATTGCATGTTGAGAGAAAGAAAAGATATAGTAATTCTCAAATTGTACTTGACATTTGTAAATGTGCTTTGCACGTACTTCACACACTTCACTGGAAAAGTCATAAACAATTACTGCTTCATTAGCACAGACATTTTAAGGAGGAAATTTCCAAACACAGGTTAGAGAATTATAAACAGGCAGCTAACGTTGGCTGTTCTCTTATACTTGGACTATTGGCTACTGTTCATTCAGACATTGGCAGAAATGTCTTAGAACAAGTGTATGAGTTAGTAATTGCATTTGGCTGCAAATAAATCCTATCCTGCTCATTTTTATGTCATGTGAAATAAATCTGCAGGTCACTAAGTCAAATATGACAGCTCCTCCATGTCAGAGAGGATTCATTACCTTGTGGTGTTTTCTCCTGCTGTCCTAGGGGGCCTCTTTGAGAAGTATACTTTGAACAGTGAACTGAATGTGCACATAGCTATAAACTGGATAAAAAGAATGCATCACGGCATATTTGGAGGTTAATTCTAATTAGGCATGAAAAAATGGACATTCAGCATAAATTAGTTATTGGGGCTTCTGTAGAATGGGAGAAGCAGTGGTAAGGAGTTCAGGTTTGGAATTCTGCCAGTTATTCCTAAATTGTGTTTAATTGTGGTAGGTAAAACTGGACAATAATAAGCCTGAGGGTTCTAAAATACACATCAAACTATTGGTGACAGACGTGATGCCATCTGTGTAAACAACCGCAGTGACAAGCAAACTAGCAAACTGATTCCCTGGTGATTTATTCCCCATGAAGTGTGTTAGATATTGATGGGGTAAGTGCATGATAGGAAGTTAGAGGCTTTGAGAAACGCTTTATTGATGAAATGTACCCCCCCGAAAAAAAACATTTAAAATTTTAACTCAGTGTTTCTCATACTTACTTTACTATGCTTATTTTGTTTTGCTTGTTTTAAACAGAACAGCTTTACACATTCTAAGAAAGCATTTAGGAAATGCTCTGCCATAGTTTTTAGTGCCCACTGCAGTCTGCATCTTTGTTAGTGGGATGTAAATATTGACTCATGGCTTTAACTCAGTGGAATTGGGACTCTTTAATACACTGTGACGTATTTATGGTATCAGGTTTTGGAGAATGTGGCTTTTATTCTGCAGGTTCAGCTAATGTTTAGCAACAAATTTAGGTTGAAAGAGTTACTTCTATAACTGAACTGTATTCATTCAGAAGGTCTTTTAGTTTGATGAGAACACATTACAATTAGAAAACATCTAGATATACTGAGAAATGTCACTGGATGGTGCCATGAACTCAAGTCCATAGGATTTAGTATTCCAGATTTACTTTGTTAATGTATTTAACAACGTAATGATCATGGTCACTTAGGTACATGTTCCAAAGAACTCTTCTTTTTGTAATTGCTTGTTTATTGGTACATTTTAGGTATACAATATGATGACATTCATCATTGGGAATTTGTACCTTTACAAGATATATCTTGGTTCTTATCTTTTTTTCCATTCCCCTCCCTGCCTTGTACTCTTCTACCCCTCTTTATTTACAAAGACTTTGTTTCTGTTTTTTTCCTTTTCTCATATTTATTCTTTTCCTTTCTCCTCACCTTCCCACTTTGCCTTCCCCTTCGGGCCTTATCTTCCTATTTCACATTATCTGTTCTACATTTTTATCCTTGTTTATACTTTGTTTCTCACACCAGAGAAACTATTTGATATTTACACGTGTGTCCTATCTATTTCATTTAAAAGTGTGGTGTCAATGTGCATCCATTTAGCTATAATTGTCTCTAGTTTCTCATTCTTAAGGCTGTGTAGTACTCCATTTTATATTAAAAAAGAAATATTTCTAATTCTTTTACAGATTTTTGTTGTTGTTGGGTGGGGGCAAACATATCTTTAAGGCCTAGATCCCAAGTTGGTTCCTTTATTGGGGAAAATGATATAACTACTTCTAAGCACAGTAGATTCATTCTGATGGTTGTTTGAAACATGGTTAATGACATTTCTTTACAGAATGTCGTTATTTTGAATTTCCTTAAGAATGCTTCGTCTCTAAAGCTTTAAAGAGGCGTAATTAGTTTGAAAAAAAAAATGCCTCAAGCAAAGTATTTCCCAATATGTAGTCATTCAGCATGGTTGGTGATCTACTGAGATTATATTCCAGAGCTGATCATGAATCAATAGATCTTAAACATCTGTTTGTTTCCTTAGACATAAAATAAAATTTAAAGACAGTAATTTTGTTAACCAAGTAACAAGGATGAATATATTTCATTAGCCAGATCTGGGAAAAACTCTTTCTAGTTCTCTTGAACAACAACATGAAACTAAATTCAGCCAAATAATCTACCTTTAATTATTAAGGAATGGCTTGTATGCTAAATTTTCATGTGAACAGAGTGTTAAATCTCATTTTTTTGCCTTGTTTTAACTTTTATTGATGGTTTTGATTTGTTTAGTAGTTTAAAGGAGCATATCATTGTTTTGTGATAGAATACATTGTAGTTATTAGAGTGATCATACTAAATATTTTTATTTGGTGTGATATTTATAGAAATTTTAATAAGTTCAGCTTTAATAAGTTAATGTATTTCAAATGTATTTAAAAGTTTTCTATTTTACATGAGTCCTTGCCAGTGATATTTTGTGGTTGACCATTTTTCATAAGCCTTTGTTCTGGTGAAAAAATAAGAGCCAGTTTGTCAAAAATTCATTAGAGGTTTTTACTTTGTGAACATTAAATGTAAGTACTGGTGGCTTAATCACTAGTAAAAAACCTGAAAATATTGTATAATGGTTTTTGGATTGTCCGACTAATAAATTTTTTGGTTTACAGACTCTTTCATTCGTTAATTGGTTTGGAGAAGATAATTGGAGATTCTGCATTTCTTCTTATTTTGAAGGACAAACTCATGTATGAGTCTTACTCTTCTGATTCTTTCCTAGAGATGGTTAGTTAATCTCTTTTATATTCATCATCATAAAATGTATGATAATTTTGTTTTTGATTTGAAAAGACAGGTTTAATGAAAAGAGATTGAAATAAGATTGTTTTATACATTATTTGAAAGAATTTGTATCATCTTATATAAATTATCTGTATTTACACTTGATTTCAGGTGTGTGTGTTTTCTTCTGACTAAATCTTAGCATGAAACATAAAACAAAGTACTTAAAGAATATTGTAAGGCAGCTAAGCATTATATTTATTTTGTTGGTTTTAATTAGAAACTTATTGGTATTTGAATTTCTGTAAATTCTGAGTCTGTTCTTGCTACATCTGTTGATGGTCTTCTGGTTTCAGAATAAGTCCAATAAGCAATTATGAGACTGTTAGTACAGCCCTGCCCCAGATTGGATGGCCCTTGAAAAAGTTTTGTAATATCTGTGGGCCCTCGTTTATGCATCTGCCTTGTGTTATTAGGAGAGAAAGAGCTAATAGATCAGAAAGTGCCTGAAAGATAGAACATACTATTGTACATCAAGGAAGAACAGTTAGGAAAGAAGTTGATTCTAACCCTCTATTCATTTCCGCCTGACAACTCTGATGCTTTAAATTTGTAAGTTATTTGTCATTAGAATCTGTGATAAATCTTGGATTTTGTGATTTCATGTGCAACTTGAATTGGCATATCTGGAATCAGATTTAGTTTCAGTGATTTTGTAGATTGCTGCTTACATAGCATTTAGACATTTTCATGTTAAAGTAAAAGAATTAACTGCATATATTTCTTAAGGATATGAAATATACAATATGAAATTAAAATAGTAAAGCTTTTTGCAGAATTGTCTCTAGAACCTTGATTGATTTGATTCCTACATGGAAGAAGAACTAAGAACTCTAGCCCTGGAAACACATGTTGTGTTTGAAGTCTGAGCCTGCACACACACACACACACACACACACACACACACACACACACACGTATACAGGATTATTTGCTTTGAATTTGGATATATCTTATGTAGCTGGAAAAAGTATAATTTTTTTCTTATGTCCTTTCCAAGATTATGGCAGGGTACAATTACATAACTGATTTTGATATTTACTTTTTAAAGCAAAATAAAAATATTGTTCATTTTTATAGGATTTGAAACAAAAATCACAAGATTCTCTGCCACAAAAACATATAATACAGCTGAGTAAAAAGGAGCCAAGGTAAATTTGTAATTTCTCATAAATTTTTTATCACTTTTCCAACTTACTTATTTTGATTTTCATGGTTCTGGTACTTAGTCACCATATATTTTGAAGCAATATTTCATTTAATCAATTTATTTTAATTAAAAATTTTATGAATAGATTTTATTGCACAACATTGTCTTGTTCAGTGATAATAGCTAAACATTGCTTGGTATATTGATTGCTGAGTAAGTTGTTAACAATATTTTCCATAAATACAAGCTATGGGATAGTATATGGTTTATGAGAAAAAAATTCTGTTATCTTTATGTTGATTACATTTAGATTATATTCTTTCTTGATTAACCTTTCATGTAGTTATCTGCTTTTCGTTAATCCTTGATTATGTTTTTTAAATTGAAGAAGAAAATTACTTTTAGAAAATTAATGTTTCTGCTATAAATTGTTCACTATCATTTTACTATCTTGTTTTATCTCTATTGATTTATGCTGAACTATATGGGAAAGGTGTCTATCAACCCCAAACTAGGATATTTAATTATAAAATAGTATTTTATATTTTTATTGTTAATTTTTAACCATTGCAGTATCTGTTTTGAATCACTAAATATCATTCATTACCCAGTGGACTCTGATATGCAGTGTATTTTTGTAATATAGCTATTGTCTTAATTGAGAAGTTGGTAACACTTGCAAATTGAAGATAAAAGTAATTTCTTGTTTTAAACTAATATATTTTATTAAAATTATTAAAAAATAAAGATTAAAAACATTGGAAGAGTTACAGTTGTTAATAAAGTCAATATTTTGATTAATAGAGACTTATGGCTTTGTTGTCTCAACTTCAGTAAGTAGGGACTTAGGTTACAGCTACTTATACCTTAGTAATATTAAATTTAGCAGCAACATTACTCACATCTTAAAAGTGATTGTAAGATTTTAGGATGAAAGGACGATGATACTAAAGAATTTTAATTAGAAATATAAAAATTTTTTCAGAGTAAATAATTTCAATACTTCCCTAATAAACAGTAGTGTCGGTAAGTCTATTTGGCTTTAGCCACAATAATCCTATTAATTTTTGTTTTGTTTGTTTTGGTGGAGAAAGATATTTGATTTTGCTTTTTATAGAATAGCAGATGGCTTGCTCTGAGTGACCTTCCCAACTGTTACTCTCTGGATGCAAGTTAGGGTGGGTGGAAGGAAGAGATGTACAGTGTACTCCCACAGAGTCATGGGTCAGAGTTCAAGGCCTTGGTCTTTTGTGGATTTTTTTTTCTTAGAACCTAACTAATAATTTTTGTGGAAACCCCGCAATTTGGCAGAAACCACAGATATCCTCCACATTTTTTTTTTTTTGAGGAGTTTTGCAAGTAGCCAGTCTGAGAGCAGTATTCCGTTCTCCTTGCTGCTGATTGGCTGCTGCCCTGTAAGCCATCTGAGGCAGATGCACTAGCATTTCGGCATCATAACAAGTTGTTATACTCTCTGTGGGTCCCTGGAGTGTTCTCAGTTTTATTCTTCTTAAAGCCCTAAGCTCTCTAAGTTGCCACCGATATGCTCTATACCTTCTAAGCCTTTATTAATAAAGTATTTTAAGAAATTAAATTGCATAACTGTGGGAGACAGCATATATAGAGTTTAAACTATAAAAATAGACATTGATAGGCATTTTTTGACCATATCTGAAATTTGCTGTTTTGCACAATTTGCGGGTGCTCTTGGATCATAACTGCCTTGAATTTTAGGGGTCCAGTGTGTGCTCCCTTTTGCTTTTCTTCATTTACCTTGTTAGTCTTAGCCAACAATACTTGATAATTTAGCCTTGTGATAAATGATGACAGTTAAGAGATATGGGTATAATAAAGAAGGAATTATTTTGCACTTTAATATTGAGGAATTTTAATTATAAATAAAGGCAAATGGATTTTTGAAGGTATTAGTAAAATGCTTATTTTTTGGATATTTCTTTTAAACTGTTGGTAGTTGAATAACGTTCTTCACCTCGCTGTTACTTCCTTGTAGTATTTCTCTACCAAATGCAAATGCTGCCTTTGCATAGTCAGGTAAATTGGGAATATTGCTGAATGTCCGATTCTTGTTTTTACATTTATCATCCATTTTGCACTTGAGAGCTTCATGAATAGAACTACTTATATATTTGGCTTTAAATATGTATTTTACTTGTTAGCCACAAATTATCTTAGTTACTGATCTCAGTAAAACCACTGATGAGTGGAGGAATAACAGTGGCCTTTAAGATGGAAGAGTTTGATAGTTTTATTTAGTGGGAATGCAAGCTACATAATGGCCATTCTCGGTCTCTAAATTGGATGTTTCAGAATTGTGGTTAGGAGTCCTTGTCATATTGGGGAACAGGGCCTCATGTTCACTAGGCAAGTGCTCTACCACTGAGCTATCCCCCCACCTCTCACATTCCTCATGAGTCTTCTCTAGTGTTCTAGGGCTTTGTTCATGAAATGCTAGGCATTGTTCCCATTTGAATAACAAATCATCCATCTACAGAAACCACATGGACTGGGGATATAGCTCAGTGGTACCGTGCCTGCCTCAAAGTGCAAGGTCCTGAGTGTGATCCCTGGTACCAGAAAAAATAAAAATAAAAAAAGAAACCATGCATTCTCAGCAGGAAAGACAAGGTGTCGGCTTTGTCAGCCGGGTAAACATTGATTCTTGGAGGATTTAAAAACTATCTTATACCTGTTAATACATAAGGCACAGATATAATCTATAGCAAAGTGTATGTATGGTATTAAAGTCATATGGGTATGATTAGAAAATAAATGTCTAAAAAAGTCCTTGGGGATATGATAATGTATAAAAGAATGAGAAATACTGATCTAAACTCAAGAATTTAAAAATACATGGAAATAAATTTGGTCATGCTGTTGGTAACATTACTTATAGGTACAGTTTAACCCAATGTATTTAAAAATATATCTAATCTGCTCGAAATAACATTTGTATATATCCATATGCTTAATTTAGTTCACAAAGGCATGTGAGGTATCCAATGTATGAATTCATAGTTTCTGTATAGAATGCAGGTACATGTAAGAGTTAGTGTTAGACTACCTTGAATAGGTCATAAATTGTCTAATTTAAGTACTTTCAGTGTAAAAAGATGTTCCTCTACATTCATAATCTTCTAAGAAAATTATTTTTGAAAAGTAAAGATTTGAAAGATTAGGGACATGGAAAGACCCTGAGGATGCTCCATGAAAATCTAAGACGGGAGGAAAAGATAGTCCTTTTTCAATATTCCATCTGTTTGGGAAGGACGGGAATAAACTTTGTCATAACGTAGACCAGGAAGCCTTGTGATTTGATAGTTTCCAAAGAATCTTTTTTTTTTAAGATGAATAATTTGAAGCGCTACACCAAATATAACCAAAATTAAATTGAGATAACTTCTGTAAATCTGAAATTTTAACTTTTGAGTAGTGATTTTGTCTTATTTCATTTATGTTTCAGCAGTAGAGTACTAAGAGGGCAGTTTATAACGAACACATTTACAAGGGTTGTGGTTTAGAGACCGGAAGCCTATGAAGCAGGGAGGGACAGTACCTGGTGAGGGCCTGGAGCTTCTCTACTCCTGTGTGGAAAGTGGAACAGCAGAAATTCCTACGTGGGGAGGAAGGAGCTCATCTCATTAGCAGGAACCTACTCACAGGGTAACTTATTCCTGTGGCAGTGGCATTAGTCCTTTATCAAGGGAATGTCCTTGTGACAGTTGCATGGGACTACATTTCCCATCTGTGAACGTTGCAGGACCCATTCAAACTGTAGCAGATTTGAGTTTGAGAGTAATTTATTCAAACTATTACAAAATTTCCTTTAAGAGCTTTTCATTTTAGTAAGGTATTTATTGATAACTGAATCTCCTTTCCCTCCTTGAAACCATTAATGCTGTAGAGGTACATAGAAGTCAAAGTTTTCTGCTCTCAGGGACTTCAAAATATCAGCCAGACATAGAGCATATACTCTTTACTTTCAGAAAAGTCACTCCGTATTTGAAAGCTTTCCCAGATTGATCCCCGCATCCTGGCACTTGTAATTTGACATCCTTGGTTTTCTCTGTGCACACTTTCCATTTAGAACCCAATCTTGATCAGTAACATTATTTTCTTGCAGTTGTCTAAGTTTAAAGTTCCAGCATTCATGTGGACTTCTACCTTTTATTACTCTTTAAATTTCATCAGTTGGAGAAACTTGGGTTTTTCCTCCGCTCTTCTCTGACATCTTTCCTCTTTTCTGGTTACTCTCTGGTTCTGAGCCAGCCTTTATACTTTGCTTGAACTATTGCAGTAGCCTCTTGCTCTTTTGTCTTCTGGTTCTCTATGCCCTCATTTGTTATCTGTAATTATCAAACAAATCTACCCAAAACCAGAACTCTAAGAAAGCCATTTCTTATTTCAGTGTTCTCCAGGAATGTTTTGTCTGTTGGGGAAAGTGTGACATGACAGTCAAATGTTTCAGCATTCAGTTTCCTGTCAGACTATCCCAAACATTATTGTATTAAATCCAGTTTGTTCTCTCACTCCCGTTTCTGTAGAATTGATGGCCAGTTCTTGTGTGGAGTCTCTCATATCATTGCAGCCGATTATATTTGGACTGAAGTTCCCCAAAATCTTGACAGGGCAGAATGTCCAGAAGGACCTGTGTATATTGCTGGTGGTTGCTGTTGCCCATCTAAGGGTTTAAAGTTGGGGCTTAAAAATTGCCAGTGATTGCACATGGCCTCTTCATGTGACTGTCATCATCTCTAATGATGATAGCTCTTTCCAAGAGGGAGGGCCTTAAGAATGAGAGTCTCAAGAGTGAGGCACTTGATGTTTTCTGGGTAGAAACTATAAGGCTTCTTAAGACCCAGCTTTGGAGATCCTGGAGATTATTTCTATTACTCTTACTGATGAAGATATCACTAAAATTAGGCAAGATTCAGAGGGAAAGGAATTATTCTGTTTATTGATATGAGGAACATATATAGGAAA